CTGACTGCCAATCATGTGATTAATCGTATTCCCACATCTCTTACCTCTGGTATATCTCCGTTTGAAAGATTGTATGGTAATAGTCCTGATTATTTCTCATTGAAAGTGTTTGGTTGTACTTGTTTTGTTCTTCGTCCTCCTGTTGAACATACAAAATTATCTGCTCGCTCTGCTATGTGTGTTTTTCTTGGTTATGGCGAAGGACAAAAAGGTTATCGTTGTTATGATCCTAGTGCACAAAAATTGTATGTCTCTCGTCATGTGGTTTTTCTTGAGCATATTCCTTTTTTCTCCATTCCTACTAATTCTCCTACTTTATCGAATTCTGAGCTCATGTATATCGATCCTTTTTCACCTAGTAATGATGATTTCTCTTATTCTGACAATGTTAATATTTCTCCTGTTTCTAGTTCCCCTTCTAATCCTTGTATTACTTCTCCTCCTATTACTCAAGTGTATTCTCGCAGGAAACATGTCATCAGTTCTGACACTAATAATCCTTCTTCTCCTTTGGTGCCTGCTTCAACTTCTGTGGATGTGGATCCAATAGCACCTCGTTATCCTTCGCGCACTCATAAGCCCCCTCATCGGTTTGGTTATTCTTCTACTGATTTTAGTTATTCTTGTTATTCTCATGATTTCTCTTCTTTCTTATCTTCTATACATACTATCTCTGAACCCACCTCCTACAAGGAGGCTATATGTAATCCTCTTTGGCAACAGGCTATGAATGAAGAACTTTCTGCTCTGCATAAAACTGGCACATGGGATTTGGTTCCTCTTCCTCCTGGTAAACATGCAGTTGGATGTCGATGGGTTTATAAAATTAAGACTAAGTCTGATGGTTCTCTTGAGAGATATAAGGCTCGTTTGGTTGCTAAGGGATTTACACAGGAATATGGCCTTGATTATGAAGAGACCTTTGCTCCAGTGGCCAAGATGACTTCTGTTCGTACTTTACTTGCTGTTGCCTCAGTTCATCAATGGAGTTTATCACAGATGGATGTTAAAAATGCCTTTTTGAATGGGGATCTCTTCGAAGAGGTGTATATGGTTCCCCCTCCAGGTGTTCTTCATAATCCCGGGGAGGTGTGTCGTTTACGGAAAGCTTTGTATGGTCTTAAACAAGCTCCTCGTGCTTGGTTTGAGAAATTCTCTGCTGTTATTGGTTCTCTTGGTTTTCAATCAAGTGCTCATGATCCTGCCTTGTTTGTTCGTTCTACCTCTGTTGGTCGTATCCTTCTCCTCCTTTATGTTGATGACATGATTCTTACTGGTGATGATTTGGATGGTATCACCCAATTAAAATTGGCTTTACATGATCGATTTGAGATGAAGGATTTAGGTCCCTTACGTTATTTCCTTGGCATTGAAGTTGCATCTTCCCCTAAAGGTTATCTTCTTTCTCAGTCTAAGTATGCCGCTGACGTTCTTCAAAAAGCTCGTATTACAGATACTAGAGTGGCTGATACGCCTCTTGAGCTCAATGTGCGTTATTCTCCATCTGATGGTACCCCTTTGGATGATCCTACTCTTTATCGCACTATTGTTGGGAGCTTGGTTTATCTCACTATTACTCGCCCTGATATTGCCTATGCTGTTCATATTGTTAGTCAGTTTGTCTCTTCTCCCACTACTCTTCACTGGGCTGCTGTGATTCGTATTTTACGCTATCTTCGAGGGACATTGTTTCAAAGCTTATTGCTTCCTTCCACCTCCACTTTGGAGCTTCGAGCCTTTTCTGATGCTAGTTGGGCTAGCGATCCTTTTGATCGGAAATCTACTACTGGTTATTGCATTTTTCTTGGTGATTCTCTTATCTCCTGGAAGAGTAAGAAACAATCAGTTGTTTCTCGTTCTTCTGCTGAGGCTGAGTATCGTGCTATGGCCTCTACTGCTGCTGAAATTGTTTGGCTTCGGTGGTTGCTTCAAGATATGGGTGTTTCTCTCTCTATGCCTACTCTTATGTATTGTGATAATAAAAGTGCCATTCAAATTGCTCACAACTCTGTCTTTCATGAGCGCACAAAGCACATCGAGTTGGACTGTCACTTTGTTCGCCATCATTTCCAGCAAGGCACTATCTCTCTTCCTTTTGTCTCCTCCACCATGCAATTGGCCGACTTCTTCACCAAGTCTCACACTCTTGCTCGCTTCCGCTTTCTTCTTAGCAAACTGTCGATGCTTAATACTGTAACATCGTGAGTTTGACAGGGGGTGTGACAATTGTATAGACAATATTAATATATATTTGAGTCTGTGTCTTTTAAGGGTAGTTAGGTCTTTTACTTATCTAGGGCATCTTTATATGCCTATATATTGTAAGCTTACAGCTGCTGTATATTTTTATCGTTTGTGAATATATTGGCATTCTCTGCTTCTACTTGAATTGTTCACATATATATGGCAGGAAGAGACGGATAGTTGGTTAGAGAATGCTGCCAATGGTCTTATGGGCAAGCAAGTAAGCGAAGAATCATAGCTGCTATTGCGTTCAACAAATTTTGATGGTTCAACTTGCTTTGTCTTAGTGCTCGTTATTCCTTATGGAGTTTCCTTGGTTGACTAGTTTACTCTCCATTTTTTTAAAATGCTATGATTATAGATTGTCAAGGAAAATGGACAAATAAAGTTTGTGGTTGACATCTTGCTTGGACTCAAATTTTCCATAACTGGCACATTTGTGTAAGTTTCTCATTTGAATAAATTTAGCTGGAATTTAAAAGAGATAGGGAAAGCCTGATTTTCAGAGTCTCACACATCGGCAGGAAATCTGGCACCACAACATATGATATTACAATGGACGATGCAGCCATCATCGGCGGCCAATTTGGATATCCCGTAGAGCTAGAAAGCAAGTTCAAACTAGAACTGCTGTAAGTATCTCGTCCGGTATTCATTTAGCTAGTTACAACACTTTGATTAGCTGAAAGTACCTTTCATTCACATATTTATTAATACTGTATGATGCAGGTATAGCGATGACAAGATCAGAATTACGCGGGGATATAATAAAATTGTTTTTGTGCATCTGCGAACAGATGGTACAGGACAGAAGTAAGATGGGCTAACCAAACAGATAGAAGATCTAAATTTCAGGTGATACAAATTTGCTTCTGGTTTTGTTGGTATAAATGAAAGCATAGTCACATGTTATTTTGATTGTTTTTCATCTTTGACCAATTGATAAGGTAACCCAGTGGGAACCAGAAAAAGGCAGAATTTCATCACCATCATTCTGAAAAATTCATGTCGTACATACTAAAAATGAAATAGAATATCTCATATTCACATGTCTATGCCCGAAACAAGAACAAATGAACAAACGTACCTAGTTTCATAGATTTTGTTTGGGACATGTCAGGTGATAAGCAAAGCTATCAGAAAGGGTGAAACAAGCATTTTCGTTGGGAATGGGGTGAGCCTTGGAGCCTTGAAGTAGGGATTGCCAGAATTTTCTCAAAAGTCAGCTTCATCTAGCAGGAGAAAGTGGAGATAATTTCCCTCCCTCCACTACAGAACTGGCCTATTGTAAATCATGCCATGAGATTGGCCTATTAACTCAGAAACAAATTTACATATTAAAATTGTTTTGACATACTTTTCTTGGCTATTTTTTTTTCTTTCTTTTACCCGTTTAACATCAAACGTAATCACAATTAATTGTATCTAAGATACTTTCTGCTAATTGTCATTGGCTCAATTGTATCTTTCTTTAGTCGCTGGCTTTGGTATTGAGTATTTCTGTGCTGGGATTTGGATTACTTATCGTAAAACCTAATGAACATTAACTGTCAGGCACAAAAATAAAGCAAATTAAATAGCACTCTTCATCTACATCTGCTGTATGCATCAACCAATAGAAGAAATCTATTAGAGATTTTGCACACGACTATAACATGTTTTTGTTTTTTGTTAAATACATGTTATTCCCATTCAAGAATAATGATTGTGTTTTGTTTTTTTAATGACAAAGCAATATCCTAAACTACTCTAATCTACGAAAAGGGTAATTCAAACTAGGGTACAAGAGGCGGGCACACTTCCGGGTCAACTTGCCTAAACAAACTACACTGTGTTTTGTTTATAGTTAACAATTCCGCAAAAGAAAAAAGTAAATCTCATCAAGATCTCAAACAAATAAGTAAAGTTCCTTAGAAGTAATTAATTAACGACAAACATGCCAGATAAACTTTTATTACTTGCCTAACAAGTAACCAAGGAAAAAACTTCCCAGAACTGATTCATTCTCTTTCCAAAACCTTCCCCATAGGATAAGAAATCTTTGTCTGGTTTTTCTCTCTTTTTTTCAGCCCTCTTTTGACGTTTGATGCCCCGGTTACTTATACCTCACTCCAAATCAATTTGGTCTTGTATTTGGCCCTTACCATTACGAGTTCCTTGCTCGATCAACTTTCCTATATATGCTGCTAGCCAACGTCTAAGCATGCATTGAATTGCATAATCCTCCTCACCTTTTACGATAAGATTTCGATTTTTTTTATCCCTTACCCTTCCTTTGCTCTGTTTTTCTTTAAAACCACAGACATCAAACCATCAAACTCAGCAAGAGACCAAACCATCAAACGTGAAGGGGAAGACCGGCCATCACGTCTAGATTTCTATGATAAACAGGTATGGTATTCCTGGTTATGGTTCTTAATTTTCTCTTTTAGCTTTGCCTTAGTTCTTGGGTTGAATATTCTATTACTTCATGCCTGCCTTTATCTTTAGGGATTCCCAATATCCAAACAGAGCAAGAATCTAACAAAGAGAAGGAAAGATACAAACGAAGTAGAAGAGCCTATATTTTAATCCCAGTGGACGAAGAAGAGTTGTGCAGGTAGTGAATTCACAGAATCCTTATTTAGGCTTTTTGTTTCTCCCCATTACGCCAATTTATGTGCAAGTTGTATATGTTACTTAAGCACTTTTGATTGCACAAACTTTATTTTGGTTGAGCACTATATATATATATATATATATATCTAAACTCTTTATAATTCTGGCATTGTGAAGTGTGAACAATGATGGCTCATTACAAAACCACGAACACTCAGAGGCCACGGGAAGATTTGTCCCTCAAGGAGACGTCGCCGAAAATCACTGGCAGGGCGGCCTCCACCACGGGCCCTATGACCGCCTTTAACCTGGTGGAGCAAATGCAGTATCTGTATGTACGGGTTGTGAAAGCTAGAGGGCTGCCACAACCCTGCGATCCTTATGTTGAGCTGAAGATTGGGAACTACAAGGGATCCACAAAACACTTGGAGAAGAATCCATACTCCGAATGGAACCTAGTTTTTTCTTTCAACAGAGAGAGAATTCAGAACACCAGTGTGGAGATTTTGGTGAAGGATAAGGCTCTTGCAGTTGAAGATGGTCATGAAGTCATTGGCCGATTTGCTTTCAATGTTTCTGATGCTCCAACCAGAGTTCCTCCGGATAGTCCTTTGGCGCCCCAATGGTATAGGCTGATGGATCAAAACAAGATCAAAGGAGAGTTGATGTTGGCCTTTTGGATTGGGACACAGGCGGATGAGGTTTTTCCTGATGCTTGGCATGCTGATACAGCCTCAGTTGTAAGTGGTTATGGTGTTTCAGATACTCGTTCGAAAGTGTACATTTCACCTAGGATTTGGTACCTTAGAGTTAATGCGATTGAAGCTCAGGATCTGCAGCTTAGAGACAAGAACAACAGAGGACAGCCAGTAGAGATTTTTGTGAAAGCTACTCTTGGGAGGTTGGTTTTGAGAAGTAAAGTTTCTCAAACGAAGACTACAAATGTCACATGGAACCAGGATATAATGTTCGTTGTAGCAGAACCATTTGAGGAGGATTTGGTTGTGACTGTGGAGGAGAATTTGATCAATAAGGAAGGAAGTTTCACCTTAGGGAGGTGTGAGATTCCTCTAAAGAATGTGGAGAAGAGGAGCATGATCTTTGGAGGACTGAAGTAGTGGAGAATAAGGAGGTGAGATTTGCTAGTAAGATTCAGATGAGGATCTCTTTGGATGGTGGATACCATGTTCTTGACGAGCCTGCTCACTCTCTTAGTGATCTTAGGCCAACAGCAAAGATATTGTGGAAACCTACAATCGGGAATCTGGAACTGGGGATCTTGAGTGCTTCCGGACTGCCACCAATGAAGCCGGAAAATCGTGTTAACGCCTATTGTGTGGCTAAATATGGGCCAAAGTGGGTGAGAACAAGGACGATCGTCGATAGCTGTGATCCCAAGTGGAATGAACAATACACTTGGGATGTCTATGATCCTTGTACAGTCATTACCATTGCAGTTTTTCAAAATGGCTATTTGCACAGTTGGGATAAGCCTGGAGGGCCTATGGATTTGCCTATTGGCAAGGTAAAGATTCGCTTGTCCACGCTTGTCATCGATAAAATTTACACAAACTCTCATCCACTTGTGGTTATGCAACCTTCTGGGTTGAAGAAGATGGGCGAAATCCAATTGGCAGTGAGATTTTCCTGTACAAATAAGATGAACATGCTACTTACTTATGGACGGCCTCTGCTTCCCAAAATGCATTACCTTGTCCCACTATCTAAAGATCAAATCTCTATGTTATCAGAACAAGCTGCGTATACTCTCGCACTGAGGTTGAGCCGGGCTGAGCCACCTTTGAGGAAAGAGGTTGTGGATTATGTGTTGGATGTGAAAACACATTTGTGGAGCCTCCGAAAAGCCAAAGTGAATTTTGACAGGATCGTCAAAGTTATGGATGGTGTCTTTGGTGTCGTCAAATGGTTTGATGGGATATGCAAATGGACTAACCCCTTCTCTACTGTTCTGGTTTTGATCATCTTCTGTGTTGTGGTTATTTACCCTGGTCTCATACTACCCGCATTGTTTTTCTACTTTTCCAAGGAAGGGATTTGGAACTTTCGGAAGAGACCTAAAAAAATTCTTCACATAGATGCCGACTTGTCTCATGCCTACACTGCGCTTCCGGATGTTTTGGATGAAGAGTTTGATCCATTTCCAACGAGAAGGACCGAGGAAGTTCTGAGAAGAAGATATGATCGGCTTCGAAGCATGGCAGGGAGTATCCAGACACTTCTTGGGGACATAGCAGCTCAAGGGGAGAGGGTGCAATCTATTTTGAGTTGGAGGGATCCAAGAGCTACAGCTATATTTACGTCCTTGTGTATAATTGCTGGGATAATATTTTGGTACGTTCCTTTCCAATGTATACCTCTTTTTGCAGGCATGTATGTGCTAAGGCACCCATGGTTACGTGACCAACTCCCTCCATATCACTACAACTTCTTCAGAAGGATGCCGGCGAAAACGGACATCTTTTTATGAGGAGCTTTGATTTGTTCAGAGAATCAACCTTTTATTTAACTGTCTTCTAACTCAAAGGTTACGAATCTGAGCATACAGACATATTTGTACTTGCCAGCTCAGATCCCTTTTTTATATTTTAGATCGTAGGTGTTGTAGCTTCAGCTTCAAAAAGCCAATAAAAACAACAGCAACAAAATGCCGCTGTTGGCAATTTCTTTTTTGGTCCAGATGTTTTTGGGGTAAGGGAAACCAGGCTTTCCCCTCATCTTTTTGAAAAGAAATTTCCAATGTTAGTTTTAATCGAATGGTTGAATTTTCTGGTTTAGCTGGAGGGATTATTTTGGCTTGGAATGAGGAATGTATTCATCCGGATGTAAAATAATATACGCATGAAAGGTTTATTTTAACTTGTGTGTTTGATGCTCATGTTGGTTCTACTTATTTTGTTTGCTGGCTCGGAAAGATGAACAAAAAATTATTTGAGATCCCCTTTTGGATAAAGTTCCTTGGCATGAACCGGTCTTGATACTTGCAGACTTTTAACTGCATTCTTTCTTTTACATGAGAAACTTGGAGGCTCTAGTAAACTTTCCAAGTACATGCTTGATTTTCAGAATTTTGATAATCAATTTAGTCTCATTGAAATTGCTTCTAAAGGTAATGCTGCTTTTACCTGGAGTAATAAACAGCAGGCTCAATCTTAAATCTCGGAAAATTTGGATCGAGCTTTTTGCACGAAATTCGTTTTTACAATGTTATCCTCATTGTTTTTTAGATGTGCTGCCTATAGGAGGATCCGATCATAGTCCAATTATCTTTCATTCCAATTCACATGTTTTTTGATCTAATTGGATTTTAAGTTTCCAAAGGCAATGGCTTTCCAATCCAGAATTCCCAGATATTGTTTATAAAAAAAAAAAAAAAAAGAGCATGGAAACAAGTTCAGGGAGCTTCCCCCTGTGAATAATATTGTGGCTAACTGTGGAGACTTACGTTTCTTGCTTGAACAATGGCACTCTAAACGGCCCCATTTATTCCAGGAAGTTTCCTCTTTGTATAAACAAATTGCTCAAGTGCAGGAACTCTTTTTGGGCAGGATCTGCATAAGGCTTATCTTAATTTGTTACATCGAGAGTAACTTTACTGGGCTCAACGTGCAAGGGCTAATTGGCTTAAATTAGGTGACCAAAATTACTAATAAGTTTTTTCCGTACTGCAGTTCGTCATCAGAGAAATTGTATTTTTCGGATTAAAAATTATATGGACATTTGGATTTCTAATCCATACTGTTCGTTTCAAAATTTCAACATAGTATCAAGCTGAATATTGTTCCTCTTTGGCACAAAGTTGTTCAGTTTTTTCAAAAGCATTCTATTTGCAGGGGCTCGGGATCCCAACTATGACCTCCCTAGGAATTTGGGAACATAAGGTGAAATTTGGTTGAATTGAAACAACTTAGTTTTTGTATTGGTGAATGAAAAAACAGTACAATTACATTAAAACTGTACGTTATTAACCTGGAAAATTATTGGAATGAGGAAAATGAACTATAAAAAGATAACCACTAAGTAATTGAGTGACCGATGCTGAGAAGATCCACTGCAAGGAATTTTCAGCCAAACAAAGTAGTATCTTAGCTAAAAGGAATCTTTGGCTTTGCCAAAAGCAGCTTTGATGTATGGATGCAAAGCATAAAAAACACTTGTCTGCAGTCCATATGAGCTCTGCATCTTTTTCCCCATCATAGTTTCAAGCAAATGTGAGAAAGGGAAACATGCAGCAGTGCTCATATTACCGGGGAAACAAAAGCAAGCACATTGGGTAAAGCTATTCCCACAATTACGCAACGAGCAAAGAACAGAACATCCATCACACAAGCCTTCAGCGGCTTCCCCAAGGTGTCCTACATAGGATGAACAAAAACATTCAACCTCCATGAAGATCAACCACAGACTAAAACACACTCAGAACAAATGACATCCGCAAAGTTTACACAATGAAGTTATTAGCTTCAACGAACTCATTGCATGGAGAAAAGAAAAAACAACCAACGTCTACACAGTACAAAAAATAAGGGCCATTGATAATGTCAGATTAAAAGTTTGCTGGAGAAAGAAGAGTTTCTGGCATACAAAGAACAGTGAAGTAGTCAAGCATTTGCCATCTACATGAGGTGTCATGAAATGTCAGCAATACCATCAGTTGGCCAGATGAATCTCAACCAGAAGTTTGGCCCTCAAGTAAAATCAGTGAAAAAATTTCATAATTTCATAAGCTCAGTGAGGAAAAGCTTTGCTTGGAGAAGCCAACTTTCATACCTTAGAAGTTAGAAACATCCTGAGTAAGGACACTTGGAAAATTTAAGAAGAGTGGTTATTTACATACGAGACGCAAAAAGAATCTGAGCAGTCTTGTCCAAGAAATATTGAGTGGAGAAACCTCACTGAGTAGCATTTTCCTTACCTCAAGGTTGAGTTCGTAGTCATGCACCCACCGGAAAAAAACATTGATGAAGGAGCAACATCAACTAACAGTCAAGTCTTTGCTGCAGTAGACTCCCACTTAGACGTATTGGCCCTTTTCAGCATCAATGCTTCTCCAACTTTTGAATTCAATAGGCACTAATGCACCCCCTTAGAAAAGGAAAAGTGCACAACAACCGTCTTTAAAGATGCTGGAGCTCTCCAACTGCGCATTTGGAATCACCCTCACAGGCGATACAGAAGATTGAAGCAAGGAGTGTAAGCCACTTCCATAAAAAGATACAATATCTAAGTTTCCACCGAAAACTTGTTCTCCAATAGACAATCTATAATCAATTATGAGACGGACCCGACTTCAATCACAATATTGCAGATAGTATACAAAGTATAGTTGAATGTTTACATTTACAATAATGACCAGTCATACTTCTAGGTTGAAGAGAGAAAAGTCTTCTTTACATACCTAAGAATTGCTAATACAAAATTAAAACTCTCCAACTACACGACAATCGACACATTCAAGTACATCAATTTAATCCAACAGAAGAAAAGGCTATGACTCAGTTTAACACTAAAGTAACAGATATTTCATGAAATTACAAGGAAATTCATTAAAGAAGGTTTGCATGACATTATGAAAATGAAAATTGGATACATAATAGGCATTAGATTACACTATCAAATGCACAGGTCCACTTCAAACTTTAGAGTAAGTACATGGTGCCATACAGATGTATCCTTTAACAGAATGAACCTTACAACTAAGTCTAACACCCCAACCCAAGGAAACAAAACCTACAACCTAGTCCCTACTGATATTATTAGGTCATAGAGGGGAAGAAAACTGAGAGCACCTTCATCCTCTCTTTCCACCCAAAAAAAACGTAAAACAAGGAAAAAATGAAATATAAGGCGAATCTACATAGATGCATATATCCAGAAGTTTAACAATCCACGACGAAATGCGGAATGTTTATCTATTTGAAGAAGCAACTTACATTAACGCGGGGACAGATTAGTCACCGTCGCCAATGCTCTTCTCTGGGCACGCAATTCCCATTTCCTCATCCTTCTTCGCATTCACCTGACCCTGCATTAACTCATTCTCATTCTTGGTCCCAACTTCATTACTCACCTTATCATTAACCTTATTTTTATTTCCAAATACCTCTTCCGGTATAAGCTCATTCTTAACTTCCTCTTTCTGTTCGTCACCTACAACCTCATTTGATGTTTCATCTTTAACCTCATTTGATGTTTCATCTTTGACTTCATTGTCCTTTAAAATCATTTCAATGCGGACATAGTCTTCCATACTTACATCAACGTCCCTAACACGTTCATTCTCAGCCAAGGCACCAACATTTCTACTTCCTCCATCTCTGGACATATACTCTACCACCTCAGCATTGCTTTCACCCTCCATACCCATATGGGGAACATCTGACCCTCCATCACTATCATTCTCAGATCCATTTTCTACTACCTCCTCATTGACCTCCATTACATGGTGCCTCCTCTCAAGAAACTGCATCCTCCTCCTCAAGTCCCCCAACTCCCTCTCCATCAAGAAAAGCCTCTCCTTCAATGTCAGATTCTCTTCCTCCAATTGAGCTATATGGGTATCCTGATCATCCACTCTATTCTCCAAAACGTTGTTATACTCGACCCCACTGTAGTTCGGGTATATCATCTCAAACCGACTCAAATCATGGTCCAACCTCCTCTCCACCTCCACATGCTCCTCCACGTCACTCTCACTTGACCCACCACCACCCTCTTCCTCGTCATCATCATTTCCAGGCGACCGCAGCCTAATCAACCCTTTCATTGACCCATACCCATCAACACCCCACTCCTCCTTCGCCATATCCCCCAAGACCTCCCTCGAGGGCGAGAAAATGGGCGTGGGAAGAACAGCAGGTGTCACCGGGCAAGGCGAAACCAGCGAGGCTATGCCACCGGACTTCTTCGCTCTGATAATGAAGGACGTCGTGTTCCTTGGGGCGTAAGGGGCAAACCTATTGTTAAACTTCTTTTTGGGATAAAATTTCCGGGCTTTCATTCGATTCTGCGACTGTAACTCATGAAGCGTTGGGGGTATGTACCCTCCCGGGCCTCCTCCGCTACTGGTCTGACCACTCGGTGGCAAATTGGGGACATTCGGATTCTTGTCCATTCTTCTCTGGTCTTTCCTTTTGTCGGTGCCCTTCTTGCCTTTCCAATTGTTGCGTCCGAGATTCGACGGAGGCTTTTGGGCCGCGAACTGTAGCTGAGGCTGAGGCTGAGGCCAAGCCTTGTAGTTTCGGTTCAACATCAACGGCAGAGACTGACTCTTCATCATCATTTGCTGCTGCTGAGCCGCCATGGCTTGAGATGACTGTGACATCATCTGAGGCGGCTGGCTCATCATCTGCGGCATCGGCTGGCTCATGACTTGAGCTTGGCTCAGACTCATCATCGGCGCTTGATTCATCAGCTGCGACTGATCGTTCATGGTTTCCCTCCAAATGCGAAGGAAACTCCAAAACCTAAATCTCGAAAGCACAAAAAAAAAAATCTAGTCCCTTTCCGATTAGATTCCGATCAAAATCGCCGAGATTTCGAGATCGAAACCCTAGAAATCCTTTTAATCTTCAATTCAAGGTCTCGATCTTAAGACTCTCTCCGAGAAATGCTTTTTCCTTTTAAAGTTCAAATTCCGAACCAAAAACAGAAAAGAGAGGGTTTTGATTTTCTTTTCTTGTTAATGATTTCTGTTGTTTCTCTAGAAAATCGAAAGAGCTCGATGGAATCAAAGCGGTTTTAGGGAGGCCTAGCGCTCCGCATGGGTTAATTTTATAGGGGGAGATTGCGTGCTGTGGACAGTCCGATTAGAACTTTAGAAATGGACGGCCAAGATCTATTATTACGTGTCGGCCGTGCGTTACCTGGAGACCTGGCAGGCGTAAGAGTAGGACAAGAGGGAAATTGCGCTTCTTTTCTTTTTCTTCTTTAATTTCTGTAAGCATAACAATTTAGACAAAAAAAATAATAAATAAATAAATAATATCGTAATTTAGTACACAATACAAGACCAAATATAGAAAAATTCAATTGCATATGATATTATGATTGCTCATTTGATTTGGACAGGTTGTCAAGAAAAGATTTCAATTCTGATAAAAATAAAAAATAAAACATCGATAATTTTAGGATGACAGTTTTTAAATATCTATTTTGTACATTTACACTTTTTTGGGTTGGATCAACCTTAAAAGTAAGCGTAAAAAAGAATGAAGGATGGGTTGGATCAACCTAATGTATTGTTTGACAACAACAACAAAAAGCCTACCAATGAATTGTTCATAGGCCTACTTTTGGGCCAGGAATCGGCCCATGAGTTCCTCAGCAATTTTTTTAATCTAATATTTTGTTTACTGTTAGTTACAAAGTGAGTCATTAAGCATCTTCTCGTGGATAAATTCTTATTTAGTTTAGTGGTACGCAGTCTCCAGGTTGACAGGTCTATAGCTAGCCTTAGTGGTAAGAGTATTTGTGTACAGAGTCCACACCAAACCCCAGGTCCGTCATAGCCTAGTAGCTATGTGCTTCATGGTGGCAAAGAAGATATCCCAATCTTTCGTTGGCTTGGCTATGAGGTGTGTAACTTGGATTGAAATTTGAAAGGGCTTTGCATGTGTACATAATCAGCCAGCATCTTTTTTGGACGAATATTTTGCTATGTGTGGCTTCGGTTGAATCCTTGTGATGTCTACCTTCTTTTTTATCCCAAAGCTTTAAGAACCACTCATGTTTCTCCATGTGTGCCTTTGATCTCTCCTAACTCGTTCCCTTACGCCATCAACATCTTCTTTAAGGAAACGGTTAACAACATCAACTTTTGGGTCACGACACATTAAGGAAATTGCTATTGGTCCTTGTCAAGTTGTCAGCCAGGTGAAGGAACGGCAACACCTAGGACGTAGAAGATTATTATTTCTTTTATTATGTTAAGGATGTCCTTATTGTAAGACAAGTGCACAGATTATTTTAAAAAAAAAATTAAAAAAATTACTTTATTTTTGGTAAATACCACGATATGTCCCTACACTCGAAGAGTGGGATTAATCCCAACTCGGAGTTCGGCTTACCCAAGACCACAAAGTGTTTTCAACAGGTTTCAAACCCCTGCCATTAAGAGCCAGTTATATATAGGTTGTTGCTGTTATTAAATTTGAAACAAAAATGTGGACAAACAAATTGCTATATAATCCTTGAAATTGAAAGATTCTGATCATTAATGCCCTTATTTTAATTTCCTTCTCAACTAATAAACTTCAGTCATACCCCATGACTGCCCTTGTGTGCCATAACCTCATGGTCATCATGGTCGTTTAACCATGCGGCACAACCTTGGACACCCAAACATCAGTGCAGCCATGTTTAGAAGCACACGGCCCGCATGTAAGATGGTCAAAGATACACTTTGATGCCCATTTCGAGTTAAAATTACTTGTAGAAAGACATTAGCAAACAATCAGTCAATATCTATCTATAATATTTCTTGATGCAATGGATAAGTTTCAAGTTGATATCATTATGCTAAAGTATCCGAAGGTGAACCGATCAAGATCAGAAAATAATTTTTACGAGTAGGAATCATAAAGTTCATAAAGGCATGGAGCTTTTAGTATTTAATTCGGATGTCCTCAGGTATGACCACCAAGTCCTTGAAGCCACAAACAATGCGTATACATTCCTCAGAATACAAACCAACTAAACCAAATGCGGATAGAAAACAATCATCGATTTACACAACTATTTACAGTGTCTCAAAAATGGAAGTTCCAAGTACATGATTAGTGGATAAGCTGGACCAAATAACTGAAAAAATTACATGATACCCCCTCAGTTTACCCGAAAACATTGGGATACTTACAATGATACACAAAGGAACAAACAACTGAGACACTATACTCCAGTATTGGGGTTGTTTCCAGCAAGGACAAGAGAGATCTCCAACCCTCGGCTGAAGGCCTGGTTGAACATGAGCCGCGTTTGGAAAGTCGATACAAATGGGAACCATGATGACAACGCAATGGGTATGAATATAAGCATTCCCATACCAGCATCATAAAGAAGGGCAATGGAACGGATGGATTTCCACAAGCCCAGTTTTTTCATCAAGGGTTTCCAAGCTATAGCAATCTGGAATTCATCAGACAGATTAACGTGTAAATGGGAGGACGGGGACATTAATCTGTTCCTGAAGTATTTCAGTCAGGCTACATTATATCAAAAGAATCATTTTTTGCAAATAGAAAAACATAATTTCAACTTGTTCCAAATATTCTTTTGTATTAGGTCTCCCATGAGAGAGAGAGAGAGAGAGAGAGCAGCTAGAGAGTAGCCAATTACACAAGGCACATTTGTTATGAAAATAACATGAAAAGAGAAGTGGATTAGTAAGAGAAAAAAAAAGAGAACTAGAAATGAAGAGACTTACACAAAGAATTCCCCACCCAGTGGGGACAAAAGCTAAAATGGAAGCAAATACGTCTGTAACTGACAAATCTGAAAGTTTAATTGCAACTGCTAAACCAGCAAGCGCCAACAAGAAGGAGACACCTTGAATGAAGCGCAACAGAAGCTGAAAGTTAACAGATATCTTCTGGCTGAAGGTGAATACCTGTGAAACCAAAGCAAAAGAATATTAATTACAAACAAACAGGACTTGCATCCCAAGATTTTGGCTAAAACATATGAATTTTTTTAATTAATTTTTTAAATCAAGTCATTCTTCACCTTGAAAAGAACTATAAGCACTGCCAACACAGCCCATGAGACACCATACACCTACAGTAAAACACGAATATTAGGACAAATTCATGTATAAGAAGATGGGAAAATATCAGCTTATGTATCAGCCCAGAAATTGCTGAACATGGCATAGACAACAAAGCAAAACAGTTAAAGATGCTCTCCATGTGCTAGTTTTCACAGTCAGTTCATATGATATTCAGTTATCTTCTTCACCATGCCAGCCAAGGCAGTCGCTTAATAACAGATAATAGATAGGCCTTTTGTATTCACCAAAAGAAAAAGAAAAAATAAAGGCTTTATACACACTTTATTCCTAAAAGGATCAGGACTTGAAGATAAATGACACAAAAGACTAGTAAGTGAACATAGTCCCACTCTTCACATACTCTTGAGTACAATTTGAGTAATGGATGACAAAAGGAACAGCCAATCACATTTTTAACAAATGCTAAAAGATTAAAGAGATAAACTCCATATAGCCATTTTTCAAATAAAGTAAGATTTAAAGAGAATAATGAAAGAAGAAAACTGTTGTAACAAGATACATAGCAACAGAACTGTATAAAGGAGTTTCATCTATAGCTCATGCATGGCTTTCTCTTTGGAAGAAAACAGATACAGGGTAAAATGGGTGAGTGGTAAACTGAAGCAGCAAAATTTGGCGGGAATCAGATACAAGCCAAAATATAGAAAAACTGGATGCATTTTGAAGGAAATAGAAAAAGCCCATATTAATTTTAAGTAAACAGTTACCGTCAATGATGTATCATCTCCTTTCACATGTAGCTTGTAGACAATGCCATACTGGAAGACAAAGAATCTCAAACTCAAAATTGTCTCTGCAATCCTTCCTCCAAAGGTCCGAATGTGTGCCTGCAGATGAAACCTCAGGAACATAAACAAGGGAGTAGAAGTAACAACGCAATTGATCTAAGAAAAATAAAATAGACAATGAAAGCGCATTATTTCACTTGGACGGTGATCAAGGAGGTAAAAAAACAAGGACAAAGGCTAAGAAGAACAGTGTAACATAACGGTTTTACTAGATGATGACCCAAGATAAGAAGGGGTCGAGGGGACAGACATATCAAGCCCTAACCTTATTTTAAGAGGGGCTGTTTCTGCAATAAGCACAATTACCAGGTTGCTTAGGGCAAACACAACCCCTAGCGACTGCCACTAGTGCAGTTCCCATTTCGGTATGTCCAGAACCATAATCACCGAATGGGTAAGTTGCCAATCCCCTTTCGTAATGTATTGTATCTCCTGGGTTATATGGGTGATTCCAGACATATCACCCTACCCTATGGTGATTTTTTGAAGCATGTGCTCCTGGGGTGGTGCAGGCATGGACCAGATTCTTTCAGAGGAGCAGCTTTTTAGCAAGGTATGGAATGCATTGTTAAATATTTATTTGATTCCTCAGAGCAACCACAGAGAGAGAGAGAGAGAGAGAGAGAGAACATTATATATTTTAAATCTATAAAAGTTTCTGTGGATGGAATTGTCCCTGCAAGTACTATAGGGTTTTTAGAACATATTATATTGGCTTTAATTCAAGACAGGTTGTGTTAGCTTATAGAGTTTCAATCAAATTGAACACGTACTTATAACAGGTGACTCCAGCTTACTGCAACCTAGAACCCAATATCCCACCCTTAAGTATATGATAACTGCTAAACATTAAGATAAGTCAACACAAAATTCACAGTACCAAATTACACAATAATAATACAATTACATTAACATGCTCTAAAATGACAAGCTTTCTTACGATGTAGGTTCATCATTAGGGAATTAAAACACCAATTATTATCTAGACATAATTTGATAAAACCGAAGTTGTCACTTGTGAAAAGCTCTAACAAATAAAGCAATTGAAGGGCCAAAACTGAAGATAACAAACAAAAATATTTTTCATGTTTCGGTTGAAAAAGAAGCAGGCATCATCGACCAGAAATAATACCAGTTCTTCCTCCCACCAAGCTT